ACCCTTCACCAGGGTGACCTGTGGTGCGCGCCCACTGGGTCCGAGGCGGGGATTTATGCATGACCACCGCCTGGAGGATCCATTTTCTGGGACCTCGGCAGGCGGTGGATATGAACATATTCGGGCCCCGGGTGGCCAAAATATACCCACATCCACCGCCCGCTGGGGTACCAGGACGTCGGTTCCCAGGCGGTGGATATGGGTAAATCCCCGCCTCGCAAATGGGTTCCCCAGATCGCCGAACGCGACGTGGTAGCAGCGGTCTGCGCGCCCAGGTTTGCCCCCCCGCGGCCCCCCAAAAGCCGCGCACCAAAGGTCACTCTTACCCAGGATCGCTCGTGTGTGTGTGGTCGAGAAGTGAGAAGGAGGAACCCTTGTCGGAAGGCTCGGAAGGCCTCGGGCCTTCTGGGAAGTTTGCCTGAGCCTTTCCCGAAGGCACAGAAGACTTCTCAGAAGGACGTGGGGCTTCTGAGAAGCCCCGCCGCCGTCTGAAAAGGCCTGCTTCTTCTCACTCCCAACTCCCCCCTTGGGCTGGAGGGTTTCTCCGAAGGGCTTAGGCGACCCCTCCTCCTCCTCTTCCTCCTCCTCCTTCTCATCCCTCCTCCTCCTTCCTCCTCCTCCTCCTCCTCCTCCTCCGCCTCCCCCTCCCCCCTCCTCCTCCTCCTCCTCCTTCTCCTCCTCCTTTTCCTATGCCTCCTCCGCCTCCTCTGCCCCCTCCTCCTCCTTCTCATCCTCCTCCTCCTCGTCCTCCTCGGGTCGGCTGCGGCTCCGGGGGAAACCGTGCACCCTGGGCTCGCCGCCGGTGCATGCCGCGGGGCTTCGTGCACGAGGCGCTCTGCCCCTCGGGGGAGGCCTCGTGGCACGCGACGCTCGCGGTGGCCACGCACGACTGGTCCTGGACGAAGGCGTGCGCAGGAGGAACCCCAGACCTCCAGCGTGTTGGGCACGTCGAGAGGAGGGCGGGGAGTAGGAGGAGGAGGAGGAGGAGGAGGAGGAGGAGGAGGAGGAGGAGGAGGATGAGGCGGAGGATGAGGAGGAGGACGCGGAGGAGGAGGAGGAGGGGGAGGAGGAGGAGGAAGAGGAATCATATTGGCATTAGTAATAAGAATAACAATGCAAACTTAATACGAATAGTAATCGTATTGAGAAGAGTACTATCACGAGTGAGAGTAAGAACGCTAAGACGAATAATAGTACTAATGATACTAATACTGATAATACTAAGCATAATCATAACCACTATCATAATCATAAGCATACGCATGAACATACTCATAATAAAACGAAGACGAAGGCGAATCATACTACTAATAGCGATAATAATAATGCGAATAATGAACATACCAAGACGACGGATAAGACGAATACTACGAATACTAAGACGACTAAACATAATAGCAAAAACAATAACAATCAGACGACGAATGCGAATTATACGAATACTGACACTAGTAATAATACGAATATTACGAATCATACTAAGAGTAAGACGACTAATGCACATACTAATAATAAAACTAATCATGCGACGACGAACAATAATACTACTAATACGGATAAGACGAATATTAATTCGACTAAGAGGACGAATGAGACGATTACTAATACTACGAATAATATTGTTACGAAGACGAGTTCGAAAGATAAAACTAATAGTGCTAAACAAAAGTAGACTAATATTAGTTTTACTCCTACTAAGGATAATCGTACGAATACGGAGCATAACAAGAGACAGAGGAGGAAGAAGAGGAGGAGGAGGATAAGGAAGAGGAGGAGGAGGAGGAGGAGGAGGAGGAGGAGGAGTAAGGGGGGAGGAGGAGGAGAAGGGAGAGGAGGAGGAGGAGGAGGAGGAGGAAGAGGAAGAGGAAGAGGAGAAGTTGGAGGAGGAGGAGGAGCAGGCGGGGGAGGAGGCGGGGGAGGAGGAGGAGGAGGAGGAGGAGGAGGAGGAGGATGAGGAGGAGTAGGGGGAAGAGGATGAGGAGGAGGAGGGAGGAGGAGGAGGAGGAGTAGGAGGAGGAGGAGGAGGTGGAGGATGAGGATGAGGATGAGGATGAGGATGATGATGATGCTGCTGATGATGATGATGATGATGATGATGATGCTGATGCTGATGATGATGATGCTGATGCTGATGCTGATGCTGATGCTGATGCTGATGCTGCTGATGATGCTGAGGATCATGATGCTGATGCTGATGATGCTGCTGCTGATGATGATGGTGGTGATGTTGATGATGATGCTGATGCTGATGCTGATGATGCCGATGCTGATGATGTTGGTGCTCATAATGATGTTGATGCTTATGCTGCTGATGCTAACGATGATGCTCATACTGATGCTGATGCTGCTGCTGCTGATGATGCTGATACTGCTGATGAGGATGATGCTGCTGCTGATGATAATGATGACGATGCTGCTGCTGCTGATGATGATGATGATGCTGGTGGTGGTGATGATGCTGATGATCCTGATGATGATGATGATGATGATGATGATGATGCTGATGCTGATGCTGATGATGATGATGATGATGATGATGCTGCCTTATGCTGCTGCTGATGATGATGATACTGATGATGATGCTGATGATGCTGATGCTGTTGCTGATGATGATGCTGATGATGCTGATGATGATGGTGGTGGTGGTGATGATGATGATGAGGATGATGATGTTGATGCTGATGCTGATGCTGCTGCTGCTGCTGCTGCTGCTGATGATGATGATGATGATGATGATGATGATGATGATGATGATGATGAGGCGGAGGAGGAGGACGAGGAGGAGGAGGAGGAGGAGGAGCTGGAGGCAGATGAGGTGGAGGCAGAGGAGGCAGAGGAGGAAGAGGAGGATCATGATGATGAGGAGGAGGCAGAGGCAGAGGAGGAGGAGGAGGAGGAGGAGGATTAATAATATAATGGTAATACTTTTAAAACTTATAACCTTAACAATAATGATCATGATGGTCATCTCAATAATAATAGTAGTAATCACAATACTCAGAAAGCAAACATAATCAGAAGAAGAAGGAGGAGGAGGATGAGCAGGAACAGAGGAGGAGGAGGGGGAGGAGGAGGAGGAGGAGGAGGAGGAGGAGGAGGAGGGCGCGGCCAAGCCTGGGAGTGGAGTAGCGTCGTGGTGCGATCTGTGCAGCAGGTGGTCGCCGCGGCCCTCCAGACCATGGACGCCGGCCCCTCCACGCGCTGGCGTGCGGCGGTGCCGCTCCCGCTCGGGGCCGAGGGCGGCGAGGGCTCCTCCGAGTCCGACCTGGCCGCCGCCCAGCGGGAGCCGAGCCTCCCACATTCGGGCGAAGATCTCCAAGGGTTCGGCAGCAAATCTTGGGAGCCTGGAGTACCCTTTGTCTTTAGCGTCGATTCGCGTCGACTAGTGTCTGGGAGTCGACGAGACAGTGCCGACTAGCGTCGTAGCGTCGACTAGCGTCAATTCATCGTCAACCAGCGTCGACTCGCAAGGGCCGAGAAGATGGTATGGGAGGCTCCCATGAGTCGCCACCGAACAAGGGCTTGTCGACTTTCCGCTCAACGACTTGTGGGGATCAAGCCGGATGCGTGAAGGCAAATGTCGATACATCGAGGTAGATCCAGGTAAGCCAGTGTAAGCCCGGGTAAACCCAAGTAAATCCACGAGGTCTCCACAGTACTTTTGACAAATCTTGGCCGCTCCAGCGCGAGTCAAGGGACGGCAGAAGTCGTTAAGCCCTTGACGATAAGAGAGCTATGCACATGCACCGTTCTTGGCCAGGCCCATCCTTGGCTCAGGATCGGTGCTTGGGCCTTCCTGGCCAAGGCAGGACGGCGTATGCACCGATCCTGGGCTCAGAATGGGCCTGGCCAGAATCGATGTACTGTGCGATATTTCTCTTTCCTCCTTTAGTGAAGGAGAAGGCGCCGATGTAGCTTCGATCAGCGTCAATTTTACGTCGATCAGCGCCGATTCGCATGAGCCAGCAAGATGACGTGGGAGGCTCCCTTGATGTGGGAGGCTCCCGTCTCTGTTGGGTCCAGTCCTCTCAAGTGTGGGGCTCCAGAGAAAGCCTCGCCTTCGAGGATCGAGAGTTGGCATTTCTGCCTCGGCAGAAGGCGGCGGAACACTGGCGGAAGGCGGCGGCCAGGCCTCGGAGGGTTTTCTTTCCAGAACCTCCCAGACCCCCCCTCAGTTTTGTTGTGTTTTTTTTTCCCCCCCGAATTAGGCTTGCCTCAGGGTTAGTACTTGGTCAAAGGTTGGTGTCTCGGAGTGTTACTTTGCCCGTTGCCCAGAGGTTCCCCTGGTTCCCCGGCTTCCCGGGGCTCCCCGGGTTCCGGGTTCCCCGAGTTCCCCAGGTTCCCCAGATTCCCGGGGTTCCCGGGGTTCCTCGAGTTCCCCGGGTTCCCCGCCCCTGGTGCCTCGTATTTTTATTGTGCCCGTTCCAAGGGATGCCACGCAATGCTATCGTTTAACCGATCCCCATCCTTCTCCCTATCCCCTTCGAGACCCCCACCAAATTGACACCCCAGTTGGGGACACACCCCTCGAAACCCGAAGGGAACGGCCTATATCCCCATCTAGGGGGGTAAATCGGCCAGTGCGGCCCAGGCCACGCCGCTGGGGATGGGGATCGGTTAAACGATACTAGCAATGCCAAGCAATGCGAATTAATGCGAAGCAATGCCAACCAATGCCAAACAATGCCAAGCAATGCCAAGCAATGCCAAGCAATGCCAAGCAACGCCAAGCAATGCAAGCAATGACAATCTTTGCGCCCATACAATAGGAAGCTTTTTTTAAATTGGGATCGCGCCGGGTTCACTTTTTTGGGGGGGGGCGGCGGGGGGGCTGGGGGAGTTTTCCTCCAGAAAGCCCTTTTCTCAAGGAAGGTTTTTGTGGGGTTTGGGGGGGTTCTTTGTGGGAGCCCTCCCAGAGACACCCTCAGGGGGTGGGGAGAGGGGCGGGCTAGGGTGGGGTAGTCCCCCCCCCCACAGAGTCCTCCTCAGAGGAGTTTTTGGGGTCTTCGGGCTTTTTCCCACGGAGCCTTCCCAGAGCCGCCCTCAGGCGGTGGGGGGTGGGGTCGGGTTTTTGGCGATCAGAACTCGGGGTCCGAGCTGTTCGTGAAGCACTCCGCAGCGGAGGAGAAGAGACCGGTGCCGGGGGCCCTCTCTCGTTTTTGCCTTCTTAGGCCTGCCGGGACGGGAGGCCCTCGTCGCCACCGATGGAGTTGCTTCGAGATTTTGGTCAGAACGCGCCCCTGGCGAGCTCTGGGGAGCAGCGGTGCCGAAGGATCGCGCCGCATCGCCAGTACATCGGCGATGCCTGTTCAATGTGGAGCCCGACTTTCTCCACTCCGATGGCGCAGATGCATCGCTGGCATCGCCAGTGCATCGCTGGTGCATCGGCGATGCGTCGGCCATGGGGCGCGATCTTCCGATGTCATTCCCTGGGACCCACTTTTGGGAGGCCTCAACAGGAGCTGGAGGACTTTGTCTCGGAGATGCGCTCGCGCGTGACCGCGCCGGTCATCCTGTGGGAGGGTCCAAACCCCAGTTTTCGCGTCGTGCAGGTGATACGGTAGGGGAAACACTTGGTGGACACTCCCCCGTTCCCCCAAACTCAAAGTTGGTACTCGCGGGGGAGACTGCGGTCGAAGTGCAACTCATCAGACCCACCGCTCACTTTGAACATTGGGGGGAGGGGGAGGCGTTGACCGATGAATGTGGCATGCGTGTTCGCTATTTTATCCGAGGCCTGTGCCCAGACCTCCAGCGTATGGAATACGTCAAGGCTGATGTTTTTTCCCAACCATCCTGTGATGGTGGGTCCTCGTTTTGAAGAGACAGCGCCCCGCGTTCCTTCCTCCTCTCCTCCTCCTCCTCCTCCTCCTCCTCCTCCTCCTCCTCCTTCTCCTCCTCCCCCTCCCCCTCCCCCTCCTCCCTCCTCCCTCCTGCTGTCACCCCCTCACTTTGGCACACCCCTCACACGTTTCGTGATCCCATAGGGAGCTCCACCGAAGCCCCCAGTGGGACCGCCCGCATGCGTCAGCACACCCAGCATAACGTTTCGTGGCCCCATAGGGAGCCCCACCGAAGGCCCCAGTGGCACTGCCCACATGCGTCAGCCACCACCCATTACGGCACGTCCCTCCCGCGTTTCGTGGCCCCACAGGGAGCTCCACCGAAAGCGGCACCCACAACGCGTTACTCACAACTGCATACGGTTGGGTCCCTCGCCAGGATAATTTCGTTTTGCAGTTTTCGGGGCAAGAGCTTTCAGCGGGCCCTGCTCGGGATCAAGCGCTGGCCACGGGGGCAGGGTCGGTACGTCGGGTGCTGAAAGAGGAGGAGGAGGATGAGGAGGAGGAGGAGGAGGAGGAGGAGGAGGTGCTGGAGGAGGAGGAGAGGAGGAGGAGGAGGAGGAGGAGGAGGAGGAGGGGAGGAGGAGGAGGAGGAGGAGGAGGAGGAGGAGGAGGGGAGGAGGAGGAGGAGGAGGAGGCGGAGGAGGAGGAGGAACGTCGGAGGCGGATCGTTTTCACAGTTTCTATGTGCTGTTCGGCTTCTAGGGGGGGCGTTGCGGCAGGAGACGGTTCAGAACGAAGCAGAGTGGGTCCCTGGGAGGCTCGATACTACCAGGGGTCCACGACGTGAATTAATGACGACGTCCGGGGCCGCCCAGGAAACTATACGTAGCACCCCGCAGATGCGGATAAGAGTGAGGGGGTGGTGGGGGCGTCGGCAGTTTGCGAGACTCCGGAGAAGCCCGCCGCAGGCGCCAAAGTTTCACGAATTATTCAACGAGCCCGCCGCAGGCGCCGATTTTTTCGTTAAACTAATGTGGGTAGGTCGCGGGTGGGTCGCAGGTGGGTCGCACATGGGTCGCGGGTGGGTCGCGGGTGGGTCGCTGTTGGGTCGCGGGTGGGTCGCGGGGTGTGTCGCAGAAGATCCACCCCATAATAATCACCTCGACAAGCGAAAGGTTTAATAAACGCACACAAGCAATTCATCGAACAGGGCAGGGCTGTTTAGACGACGCCCACGGCTGTTGTCTGGTCTGGGTGGTTTTTCCTCCCTTGATGGTGGGTCGCGGGGTGGGTCGCGGGTGGGACGCGGGGTGGGTCGCGGGGTGGGTCGCGGGGTGGGCCGCGGATGGGTCGCGGGGTGGGTCGCGGGTGGGTCGCGGGGTGGGTCGCGGGGTGGTCGCGGGTGGGTCGCGGGTGGGTCGCAGGGTGGGTCGCGGGTGTGTCGCGGGTTGGGTCGCGGGTGGGTCGCGGGGTGAGTCGCGGGTGGGTCGCGGGGTGGGTCGCGGGGTGTGTCGCGGGGTGGGTCGCGGGTGGGTCGCGGGTGGGACGACGACAAACAATAACAACAATAACAACAACAAGAACAACAACAACAGCAACAGCAGCAGCAGCAGCAACAACAACACCAACAACAACAACAACAGCAACAACAACATCAACAACAACAACAGCAGCAGCAGCAACAACAACACCAACACCAACAGCAGCAGCAACAACAACACCAACAACAATACCACCAGCAACAACAACATCAACAACCACAACAGCAACAACACCACCAACAACAACATCAGCAACAACAGCAACACCAGCAACAACAACAAAAACAACAGCAGCAGCAACAACAACAGCAACACCAACAACAGCAACAACAACAACAGCAACAGCAACAGCAGCAACAACAACATCAACAGCAACACCAACACCAACACCACCACCAACAACAACAGCAGGAGCAGTAGCAGCAACAACAGCAGCAACAACAACAACACCAACAGCAACAACAACAACCACAAGAACAACCACAACCACAACCACAACCACAACCACAACCACGACCACGACCACAACCACAACAACAACCACAACAACAACAACAACAACAACAACAACAACAGCAACAACAACAACAACATCGCCACCACCACCAACAACAACAGCAACGCAACAAGCAGAATTCTCACCACGAATTCCTTATTCAGCCACGCACCCAGGAACAATGAATGACGTTCGGTCCCTTCACTCTGATTTTCTGAGGCCCGCACCCCAGACCCCCGCCGTCATGATTTTTTCATGGCGCGATCCCCAGGAGGTCCAGACACATTCCCCGGGACCGGTTTCTCATCCTGAGTCGTCTTTTGACGGTCCCGAGGCCTGGTAAGGGCCCCAGGGGCCGAAAATAGCGAAAAACTTCCGGTCGTGATTTTTTCACAATGCGAGGGGGTCTGGGACAGATTCCTTGGATCGGCGCTGGACTCTTTCCCCACAATTGCGGAGCGATCCAAGGATGGGGCCGTGGGGAGGGGGTTTCCAGCGCCGACCCAAGAAGTCTGCGCGGGCGTCCGAAAGCGTGTGCCTGTGCCGCTTGTTGTCCCGTGGCGGTTCGCTAGGGGTATGGCGCCAGGATGGCGGTCTTCTGACTCAGACCCCGTCGCGTCATGAACAAAAACAGACGGACGGTTTTTCGCTGATTTCGGCCCCTGGGGGCCCTTTCCAGGCCTCGGGACTGTCAAAAAACGATTCAGCAACCTGCAGCCAATCCCTGGGAATGTGTCCGGACCTTTGGGGTTAAGTCGGGCGTGTTCTTGTACAGGAGGAAAATGCATAAATAGTAGAACTATTCTCAGGTGACTATGTTTGGACAATTTTTGAGTATTTTGTTGTATTTTTGGGCTCTTTTTCATTTCTCGTCCAAAATCCCCCTGTAGGGGGACAGGCCCGACCTAACTTTGGGGGTCGCGTCATGGACAAATCATGACGTCGGGGGTCTGGGAGGATGGCGGGATTCTAAGAGGGGGGGACTGCTTAGTATTAAGTCGGGCGTGTCCCTCTCTACGTATTTGTATTCAGTCATTGTGAACATTTTCTGACTATTCTCCTTACTTTTCGTCCAACCTCCACCTGCAGGAAGACACGCCCGACCTAAGCTTAGTAGGCAGGGGGCCTTCTCAGAAGGGCCCAGGGGCGTCACCGCCCACCAAACCACCCCAACCCAACCCGAAGGCCCCGATTAGCCGTCCATTTCCAGTGGGGGGGGGGTCGGGGAACATAGGAAAAACGCATGCGCCGCCCGTACCCCCCCCAACCCGAATCCAGGGTCTTCGGGTTGGGTTGGGGTGGTTTGGCAGGTAGTCAGGGTTTCCAGGGAGGCAGAAGTCGGGCGAGCTTCGCAGGAGGCCCCCGCCTTCTCGGAAGCTCCCGCGCCCTCGCAGCAGGCCGCCCCCTCTCCCCGCGCCGCCCCCCCCCCTCGGGCTGGGCGCCGCCACGCCCGCGCAGGTCCTCGGGGCGACGCTGGCGCAGAGGCTCGAGAGGCACCCCGTGAGCGGAACGCATCTTCGGGGGGCGGCAAAGAGGGGGGCGAACGTATGTTCGGGAGGTTTTTCGCCATGTTCGGTCTCCGGGGGCCCTTGCCGGCTTTCGGGGCCGTCGAAAGACGATTCAGGATGAAAAGCGGGTCCCAGAGAAGGGGTCCGGACCTCCAGCCGGGGGCGGCAGAGAGGGGGGTGATGATTAGGGGGGGGGGATAGCATGGCGGGGGCCATGAGATGTCCCCAGATCTCAGGGCGCCGCTTGTCATTTCATGATGTTCCCCCCCCCCCTTGGGCCGCGCACGTGCCGCCGGCCATGATCTGCGCCCCCCCCCCCCCCCTCTTGGACGCCCCCCCCTCTTGACCGCCCCCGATGTATGTCCGCATCCGCGGCCCCGCGGGCCGTGCCCCTGGGCCGCGACCCCGCGGCTGCGCGGCGTTTTTTGTTCGCTGGTCCCCCCGCGCGGAGCCTATCCGCGCGGCCGCGTATCCGCGGCACCGCGCCCCACAGCCCAGACACTGCGAGGGCGTGGATGCGGATACAGGCGGCCCGGATCAGTAGGTCGACCCTGCCAGCTCAAGGGTACCCTCGTGTCCTGTGCCTCGCGACACGTGGCGTCTTACACTCCTATGGCGATGTGGCCCTCGGAAGGGTCTTGTGTCCTCTCGCGTGTCCTTTCCAATCAATGCCGACTGTACGATCGCCGCTCGAGAGGCACAACGCCATGCAGGAGCAGTCCGCCGGCGGCTTCCTCCAGGCCCTTGACCAGGCTCGTGCCCGCCGGGCAGACACGCCCGCCTGGCGCGCGCGGCGCGTCACGCTCGGCACCAGGCTGCGGCAGGCCACCCCGAGCGAGAAGCGCGAGGACCAGCGGCGGCATCCGAACCCAAAGAGCGCCCTCGCCAAGCAACGATCTGATCAGGCAGCTCGATGCCCAGACCCCCTCGAGTCATGAACAAATCACGACGGAAGGTTGTTCTATATTTTCGGCCTCTGGGGGCCCTTAACGGCCCTCGGGGCCGTCAAAAAACGATTCAGGATGAAAAGCCGGTCCTGGTGGCTGGGTCCGGACCTCTGGGGGTCGCGTAATGAAAAAATCATGACGTCGGGGGTCTGGGTGGCTGGCAGGGGCAGGGCTCGGAATTCGTCGAAGACGTTGCGAGAGCCGAGCACTGCCTCCGCCTCCCCTCGAGTCAGGAGGATCGATGCGCGGCGGGAGCGGTGCTCGGAGTCCGTCGAACGCGTGGCGAAAGTCGAACCCTACCCCCGCCTCCCATCGGTTCAGGAGAATCGATGACTGGTGGGGGTAGGGTTCGGAGGTCGGAAAGGGTGCGTTCTGTGGACGCTTGGAAGGGGGGGGGTCGAACCGCAAGCGGGGGGCCTGAAATGCAAGGGGTGGGGGGGGGGGATTCGAACCAGGGGGGGGGGGCGGGGGGGGCGGCCCTCAAGGCGGGGGGAGTCGAGCCTTGCCCCTCCCCGTTTCCGAACTGCAGGCGGGAGGGGGCTCGAACTGGCCCCCCCCCCTGGCTCCCCACCGGCGACCGACGACGGCGAGCGCCGGCGCTGGCGGCGGCGCCGGCGCCGTCAGGCAACGGCGACGACGATCGAGCCCTAGTGCGATGCTATTGGGGCTGCATCGAGCCCTAGCAAGATTCTATGAGAGTTGTGGATCGAGCCCCAGAAGGGTTCAGTTCGGGCTCTAGATCTAGCTGTAGCAGGACTCTGCTCGGAGTGGATCGGGCCTCCGTTGGATTTGATTCGAGCTGGATCTAGCTGTATAGTAGGATTCAGTTTAAGATGGGTCGAGCCCGACTAGGATGCGTTGGATCTAGCTGGATCCTGGATCGAGCCCGACTCGGATGTTATTGAAGTTAGATCCGCCTGTAGTGTCCAGGGATTTTTTTCCAAGCTAGCGTCCACGAAACCCCGTTCTCTCGGACGCTGCCACCCCAGAGGACCAGCTGCTCGCCGCCCGCTGCAAGGGCGGCTGCAAGGGCAGCCGGAAGGCCTCGGGTGTTCGATCCCGACGTCTCTTCGCGTTGCAGATGTCCGACGAGGTGATTTGTTGAATCCCAGTGTTTTGTATCGATTTCGGCCTTTGGGGCTCACTGTCGGGGCCTCTTCTTGTTGGTTTCTGTTTATCCAGGGGGAGTTGGAGGAGGAGGAGGAGGAGGAGGAGGAGGAGGAGGAGGAGGAGGAGGATTTGCCCGCCCGGGCCGGCGCCGGCAGCAGGCAGCACCAGGGAGCCGCGGCGGTCCGAGCTTCGCGGCTGTTCTCCAGTCTCCTCCCTCCCCCTAGTCGAAGATTAACAAAACACCATAGACATAAGTTTTAGGCTTAAGTCGGGCGTGTCCCTCAACAGGAGGAAGATTCCAAAATGGTCAAAAACATAGTCTGGGGACGATCCTTCGACTATTTTTGAGCATTCTTTGACTATGTTTAATCTTCCGTCCAAAATCCACCTGTAGGAGGACACGCCCGACCTAATTTTAGGCGCTCCGCGCGGATTTCCTGGATCCGCGCTGGGCCCCCCAGCGGCGCCTCCGGTGCCGCCACGGAGGGAGGGGGGTCCAGCGCCGATCCAAGAAATCCGCGCGGAGCGCCAGAAGTTTAGGTTCATGGCGTTTTTCTTTTTCTACTCCGAACAGGAAGGCCCCTGACTTCTCAGAAGTCCCCGCCTTCTCAGAGTACCCCCCCTTCCGATGTCGTGAAGGCTTCAACGCGGGGTCCCCGGACCTCGCGACAACTTCCTGCGCCCCGGATCCTTTTTTTGTTTTTTTTGTTGAAGGGGCCCAGGGACACACAAATAGATAGACACACATCCCAGGATTCCCCATATTGTCCACATGTCCCGTATGTTCGTCGCCCCACCTCCAAGATTTCCCACATTTCCTTGGGAACCGCCGGCGATTCTTTGTGCCCGCGTGTGCCTTTTCCCTCCTGATTGTTGGACGGCCCCAGGGCCCGAGAGCGGCCGCCAGGCGCCGAAAGTTGTGAAAACTGCGGTTTCGATGTTGTTTTCCGTAAGTGCGCTGTCGGGCGGGCCTGCAGGAACACGACAGGTCGTCCCAGAGCGTCTCTATCTGAAGGGCTCGCAGAGCGCCCCGCAGGGCTTTGGAACGGCCGCGGCTCCCGATGCATCCTCCAGAGCCGCCAGTCAGAGATCCCCAATCTGTCTCAGTCAGATTTTATCACGGTCCTGGCTTGGTCCCCAGATATCGGCCCGGGGCATCGGTTGTTGTTGTTTGTTGTTGTTGTTCTTGTTGTTGTTGTTGAACATTATTAATTCTAAAGAATAATTATTGTTGGGACCCCTGGTGCACGGCCCCCCTGCGCCGCCTAGGCCGCAGCTACATTTTCATCATTTTCGTGAGGAAGCCTCAGGTAACGATGTCATCAAGATCCGGTTGTTTTGTTGTAATCCGCTTTCCCTTGCAAAAAACACTATAAAATGACATTTCTTGTTCTAATATAATCAAATTTCAAGAATCCCTTGCAAAAAATAAGGTAAAGTGGACATTCGCGCGCGCAAGACGAAATCCTTCCAAAAGCTTAGTGTTCGGAGCGATTTTAACATAAAACATCAAAAAACCAATGGTTTTTCAACAAAAAATGTCAAAATCTCATCCCGCGCGCTCTTGCGGATTCGTAGGAAACCCAACACTTTTTAAACATTTCTGTCAAACGGGCTTTTGCGAGCAACTTTTTCGAACTTCTGCGACAACGGTTGCGCACCTGCCAGGGCCATCATCCCTGTCAAATAATACCATGCGGGACACATTCGTTTTTTCTTCGCGCGCGCACGCCGAAATCTCCAAAAACCATTGGGCTTCTTAAGAATTTTAGCACCGCGCATCATAAAATCACACGAATCGCACCGTAGGTCCTCGAAAAACACCTGCACGACTTTTCAAAATTTCTACCCGCTTAATCACTTCTGTGGGTGTACGAACGTAGGCTTAACAACTTCTGTGGGTGTGTACTCCACGCCAGTGTAGTAGCCACGGTCGTCCGCAGGCCACGAAGTGAAGTGTCCGAACGTCATAGGGCGGGAAGCTGGGTGTGGGTGGTGGCGAAGAGTCGTTTGGAAATTTGGTAGAGCTTGAACCGGCCCCCCCACAAAGTGGGGGTATTGGCTGGCGTCGCTATGAAAACCCTGGCACTGGTGAGAACGGAGTGTCCCCACGTGCTAGTAATTGTTGTGGTTGTTGTGGTTGTTGTTGTTGTTGTTGTTGTTGTTGTTGTTGAATTCTCATTCTTGAAGAATAATTATTGTTGATCCCCCCCCACCGGTGTTGTTGTTGTTCGCACCTTGTTTTTCTCAAGGAAAGTCTTCCTGCTCAAACTTGCCCCTGCCCCCCGGGCTACAACAACAACGGCTTGAGACTTCCTCGATTTTTACTGCTCCCGCCTGAGACTTCCGCGCAATTTACTCAGGAAAGGCGCTCCCGTCTGAGACTTCCTCGCAATGTAATCAAGACCCCCGCTCCCGCCTGAGACTTCCGTGCAATTTACGTGGGAACGGCGCTCCCGCCTGAGACTTCTTCGAATTTTACTCAGGACCCCCGCTCCTGCCTGACATTTCCGCGCAATTGACTCAGGAACGGCGCTCCCGCCTGAGACTTCCTCGCAATTTGGTGAGGACCCCCGCTCCCGCCTGAGACTTCCGTGCAATTTGCTCAGGAACGGCGCTCCCGCCTGAGACTTCTTCAGACTTCCTCGCAACTTAGTCAGGGCCCCCGCTTCCGCTTGAGATTTCCTCACAATGTACTCAGGACTGCGCTCTCGCGTGCGACGTCCTCACAAATTATTCTGGAATTGCGTTTCTGCGCTCAGGAACCACGCGCGCGCCAAGGACGCCTTCACAACGTGGTATCTTCCCTCTTCCTTCGTCCTTCCCCCTCCCCTTCCTCCCACTCTCCCTCGTTCTTCCCCTCCTCCTCTTGCAGGGCCCGCGCCAATTCCAATGGCGGGCAGAGAGATGTACGCCCCCGAAGGATTGTCCGCCCGTTCCGGTTTGCCCGTGCGTCTAAGCCCGCCGGCCCCAGCAAAGAGAAATAATCCCCCCGAAAGGGGTGTGATCGAAGACGAAGAGGGCGGGTATCGAGGGTGTAGGGTATACGTGTTGAATGACTCGCGGGCAAGTAAGAGCGTACAGCCTTAAAATGGTTGTTGTTGTTGTTGTTGTTGTTGTTGTTGTTGTTGTTGTTGTTGTTGTTGTTGTTGTTGTTGTTGTTGTTTTTGTTGTTGTTGTTGTTGAGTTTTCATTTCTGAGAAATGATTATTGTTGATCTCCCCCACCTGTGCATATTGTTTTTCTCAACGAAAGTGTGCCTCTCGACGCTCGCACCCTGTTTTTAATCGGGAAAAGTCTTGAGGCTCAAACTGGCCCCCTGGCCCCCGGATTACAACAACAACAACAACAACGGCTCCCGCCTGAGACTTCCTCATAATTTCGCCAGGACCCCCGCTCCCGCCCGAGACTTCTTCGCATGTTATTCAGGAATCGCGCTGTCGCTTGGGACTTCCTTACAATTTATTCAGGAATCGCTCTCCCGGCGCTCTGGAGTCGCGCTCTCGCTGGAGACCTGCTTGCAATTTACTGAAGAATAGCGCCCTTGCGTTGGAATTTCTTGCGATTTACTTAAGCGCCGCGCTCCCGACACCCAGGCACCCAGGAGTCGCGCTCACGCTTAGAACTCCGTCACAGATTACCTAGGAATCGGGATCTCGCTGCCCTTCGTGGCCCCGTTGCAGCCCTTCGTGGCCCCCTCGCTTTGTTTCGCGGCCCCGTTGCAGCCCTTCGTGGTCCCCTCGCTTTGTTTCGTGGTCCCGTTGCAGCCCCTCGTGGCCTCCTCGCTGCCCTTCGTTTCGTGGCCCCGTTGCAGCCCTTCGTGGCCCCCTCGCTGCCCTTCGTGGCCCCGTCGCAGCCCTTCGTGGTCCCGTTGCAGCCCTTCGCGGCCCCCTCGCTGCCCTTCGTGGCCCTGTTGCATTCCTTCGTGGGCCCCTCGCTGCCCTTCGTGGCCCCATATATGTATGCCCTTCGTGGCCCCCGCTCGTTCGCGCCCGTGGTGGCCCCATAGGCATGCCCTTCGTGGCCCCGCTGTCGCCCTTCGTGGCCCCCTTGCTGCCCTTCGTGGCCCTGTTGCTGCCCTCAGTGGCCCCGTCCTTGCCCTCCGCGGCCCAGTATACGTATGCCCTTCGTGGCCCCCGCTCGTCCGCGCCCGTTGTGGCCCCATGTGCATGCCCTTCGTGGCCCCGCTGTCGCCGTTTGTGGCCCCCTCACTGTCCTACGTGGCCCAGTTGCTACTCTCAGTGGCCCCATCTTTGCCTTCTGTGGTCCCGCATTATCTGCCCTTCGTGGCCCCCGCTCTTTCGCGCTCTTCCTGGCCCCATACGCATTCCCTTCGTGTCCCCGCTGTCTCCCTTCGTGGCCTACTTCGTGTCCTTGTGGCCCTGCTGTCGTTCTCTCTCGCTCTCGCTTTCGCTCGTCGTCGCCGTCGCCGTCGTCTTCGTCGTCGCCGTCGTCGTCGTGTCCTTGTGGCCCTGCTGTCGTTCTCTCTCGCTCTCGCTTTCGCTCGTCGTCGCCGTCGCCGTCGTCTTCGTCGTCGCCGTCGTCGTCGTCGACGTCGTCGTCGTCGTCGTCGTCGTGGTCGGTCCCCTGTCCGTCCCTCTTGGGGTCGGGTCGACGGTCCGCGGCCGCCCCGCCGATCAGCGCTGCCGCTGGCGAGGCCGACTGTCCGCGGCCGCCCCGCCGCTTGCCGGGGCCCAGCCTGCAGGGAAGAAGGTATACCCCCCAATAGGGTTTCGATCGAAGACGAAGAGGGTGGGTATCGAGGGTTTGGGAAATACGCGTTATGGACACTCGAGCAGATAAGGGCGAACAGTCTTAAGATGATTGTTGTTGTTGTTGTTGTTGTTGTTGTTGTTGTGATTGTTGTTGTTGTTGTTGTTGTTGTGATTGTTGTTGTTGTTGTTGTTGTTGTTGCTGTTGCTGCTGCTGTTGTTGTTGTTGTGTTTGTTGTTGTTGGTGATGTTGTTGTTGCTGCTGCTGTTGTTGTTGTTGTTGTTGCTTCTCCAATGCGCGGTTCCTGGAAGGCCCGACCCTTCCCCCCGGGCCGGTTTTTCATCCGCAGCCGTTTCTTGACGGTTCCAGGGCCCGGCGAGAGGCCCCGGAGGCTGGAAACAGAGAAGCGTCTCCGTCATGGTTTTTTCGGAAGCCCCCCTGATGGGTCTTGGCTTCGTCCTGCGATGGAGGTCTGCGGGCCAGCTCGGCAGTCACCGCCCAGCAAGCCAACCGAGCCCAACCCGAAGGCCCCCATTTGTCCTCCATTTCCAGTGGGGGGGGGGGTCGGGGAACATGGGAAAAACACATGAAACCCGTACCCCCCCCAACCCGAAATTAGGGTCTTCAAGTTGCGTTGGGGTGGTCTGGTAGGTCGTCAGGCAGTTCTTGGCGGCCCCCTCCGCCAGAGGGCGGCGCGGGCGGCGGCAAGGGCGCCGGCGGCGGGCTGTCGGCGCGGGTGGAGGTCCGCCTCTGGCCAGGGGGAGCCCATTTGTCTTTTTTTCGTTTGTGTGTGTGTGTGTGTGTGGTGTGTGTGTGCGTCCAGCGGCTGCGAGACCCTTAGTGGTCTCGGACTGCTCGGGCGGGCTTAGACGCGCGCGCCCGCGATTTGCTGTCTTCCGACCTTCTACGCCCTGTCGCTACGCACAGGGCCGCGACGCCAAAAGTAAACGAAATTGTGTGTGCGTGTCTGTGAGTGCGCTGTGTAATTGTGTGTGTGTGTGTGTGTCCGAATGTGTGTGTTTGTGTCTGTGTGTGCGCGCGCAGCCCGAGGGGGCAGACCGGGGAGGGTGAGTGGCATCATGAGAGGAGGATGAGGCTAATAGCTGGAGGGGGGCGGGGGAGCAGCACGGGGGAGGGAACCAAGAGGACGAGGATGACGATGATGGGGGTAACGATGATGAGAATGAGGATGAGGATGAGGATAACGAGGACGACGGGGATGATGCTGCTGCTGATGATGATGCTGCTCAGTAAGCGGAATGAGGGTGATGATGATAATGATGAAGCAGATGATGATTATGCTGATGATGATGGTGGTGATGATGATGGTGCTGCTGCTGATGATGATGAGATGGTGATGGTAATGATGATGGTTTTGATGATGGTGATGATGACGATGCTGATGATGCTGATGCTGATGCTGATGATGATGATGATGATGATGATGATGATGATGATGATGATGCTGATGGCACTGCTGGTGCTGGTGGTGATGGTGTGGTTGTGGTGGGGATAATGATGATAATGCTGATGCTGCTGCTGCTGATGCTGATGACGATGATGATGCTGCTGCTGATGATGATGATGATGATGATGGTGGTGGTGATAGTTGTATAGTCCGCAACGAATAGTTAGCAAATGTTTTATACAACGTTTGCTATCTATAGGTTTTTTTTGGGTAAAAGTTGTCCGAAATGGGGGGTATTTTTTGGATGCCTTTTTAACGAAAAATCCATATAATTCGAGTTTCTACTCAGAATTTCGGTCATGTATATAAAATCACGTCCATTTTTTTCGGTTAAAGTGCGTTTCTTTAATCGCGATTTGCCACCATTGTCGTGCTATCTAGTGTGCGCCTTGGCGTGCTATCTAGTGGGCGCCGCCCGCCCCAAGATGGCCTCGGAGGGCCCCGAGGCGGCCCAAGAAAGCCCCGAGACGGCCCAAGACGGCCCAAGACGCGTCCAAGACGTCCCAGGAGAGGTCCACGCGGTCATCGTCATCGGTCATCGTCATCGGTCATCGTCATCGGTCATCGGGCCCACACACCTGGCCATGTGATTTTTGTTCAATCCCAGCGGTCTCTCCTCGGTTTCGGCTCCTGGGGGCCCTTTTCGGGCCCCAGGACCGTCAAAAACGGACCCTGGGAGAAAACCTACTCCCTGTCGGCGGGTTCGGGACCCCTGGGGCCGCGGATTGAAACAATCACATTGTCGGATGTCTGGGCTGGGACGCCTCTCTGCCGCCGCCGCGTCGCGAGATGCTCCAGGGGGAGGGGGGGCTACGACCCCCCAGGCGGCCCAAGACCGCCCCAAGACGGCTTCGCGACGGCCCAGGACCGCCCCAAGACCCCTCCCGGGCCCCGACCCATAGTTAGCACACAATGATGGGGCTCTCAGGGGCCCAAGATCTGTACAATTAGCAAGCCCGGGATGCTTCAGGGGGGCCCTGAGTGGGGCTCGAGACATCCTCACAACTCGGGAGCTGCCGCTCGAGACATCCTCAGATCTGGGGCGGCTGACTGACTGACTGACTGACTGACTGACTGACTGACTGACTGACTGACTGACTGGCAGGCGGGTCGGTGCTGTGTTATTGCTCTCCCGGGAGGGGCCTTGGGGGGGAAACCGACCTTTTGGCTTCGAGCTTGCGCGCGATGGCGCGCCGCGTTGTGGTGGTCGCCCGCGACGGCAGATGTTTGTTCCACTGCCTGCGCCTGGCGCGCCAGGGCGAGGAGCCCGTGAAGCAGCATGAGGCCGTCGAGCGGAACGTCATGGGCTGCCCAGTGAATATGGCCACCCAGAAATGCGAAACCGCCGAGGCGATCCAGGACCCTAGGAGGAACCACGGGAAGCCGGGGGGGTCCGCGCCGTGCTGTGCCGCGCTGTGCCATGCGGAGCCGACAAAGTCATTGAGAAACAATTGTGTTTTAAGCGGCTCTTTTCTCTGAAAAGTACTCCCCCTCGACCCACCCGTGCCCTGCATCCTCCCCCCACGAGTACTCGGTGCCTTTCCTGGAGCACTTGAGCAAGTCGGGGCGTTATGATATCGGCGAACGCATCCTGGCTGGGGACTCGCCCTCGCCAGAGCTCCTCGATGAGGTCGCTCAGGTTCCCAGGGGGCGCCAAAAAATCAGTTTCCGACCCCTCGGGAGATGGGGGCAAAGATAGCACCGAATGGGCGGCGCGTTACCCCATCCTTCCCTTCCTCCTCCTCCTCCCTCCTCCTCCTCCTCCTCCTCCTCCTCCTCCTTCCTCCTCCTCCTCCTCCTCCTCCCTCCTCCTCCTCCTCCTCCCTCCTCCTCCTCCTCCTCCTCCTCCTCCTCCTCCTCCTCCTCCTCCTGGTCTTCGTCGTCCTTCAGGATCGGCGGCATTGGCCGTCAGGCCTTCAATCTTGATTCCAGAGATTTTGGAGATTTTTGGCCGCGTCGAGGTTTACAACGTTCACATTGTCGTCCACCACGGCTCGCTCGACCGCGATTACGTCGATGAGAAGAACACAGGTGCGCCGCAGAAGGTCGAGCTCTTACTTCGGCTGGTCGGCGAGCAGGAGAGGAAAGTGGAGCACTACGACCTCGTTTGGCCGCCCGCAGTGCCAGGGGCTCCAAAAGGGCTCCAACAAAGATCCAAACGGGCTCCAAAGGGCTCCAAAAAAGCTCCAACAGGGTTCCGAAAGGGGTGATCCATGAGGGCGCCAAAAGAGCAACAAGGGAACAAGGGGGAACATGGAGCGGGAGGGGGCCCTGCCAGGTGGAGAACCCAGCGAAGAAGCAGCGGATCACCGACGGGCTCGACGAAGATCTGTGGCGACGCCTCGACAGAGCTGCTGCGTGGGGGGATGAGGCTGCGGGGTCCGTCCACAGCTCGCCGGAGGGGCCCGAGGAGGAGGCGGCCGACGCCGAGGAAACAGGGCGGGGATACTCAACGTGAAAGGACGAGGGAGGGAGGGCGTGAGGCAAGGGGGGCAGAGGACGGATGAGAGGACGGATGAGAAGTCTTGCCTCCATTGCGTGCTATCTATTCGGCCAGGCCAAAGGGGGCAGCAATATGTGGGCATGGCTCTCAGAGCCCCAGGGGGTTCTTAGAAGAGTTCTCAGTACCTTCTGAGAACCCTCCTAAGAACACCCAGGGGCTCTGGCGCCCTCCGCCCCAAGAAGGCACAAGATGGCCCCAAGACGGCCCAAGAGGGCCCCAAGGCGGCCCAAGAGGGCCCCAAGACGGCCCAAGAGGCGCCCAAGACTGCCCAGGATGCGTCCAAGACGGCCTGGGAGAGGTCCACGAGGCCTTGAAGACGGCTCAAGAGCGCTCCAAGACGGCCCAAGACGGATGGGGCCGATCAGGGTGCAAAGAGGGGAGGGGCAGAGGAGGGCTGGGAAGTCTTGCCGCCATTGCGTGCTATCTAGTGGGCACCCCCCTGCTCGCAGGAGGAGCACCTGGAGGCGGGCGCCTCCAAGGAGCAGCTGGAGCCCGGGGCTTCCAAGGAGGGCTGCCTGGGCCACGAGGGTACGGCCAAGCCCGAGCTCGAAGGGCCGCGCCCCTCGGAGGCGGCCATCGCCCCCTCGGAGGCGGCCATCGTCGAGGAGACAGGGCGGGGAGAACGTGAAATTGGAGCGGGCTGAGGGGCCGAGGTGGTCCACCACTGGTTCGAGGCGGTTTTTCGTTGTTCTCGGCCTCTGGGGGCCGCTTTCGGGCCCTGGGGCAATCGAAAGCGGATCTGGAGTGAAAGACTGCGTCGGTTGGCCCCCGGGATTGGTATGGGGGCCGATTTTGAGCGCATTTGCCTTGAACCCCCCCTCTTGACCGAGTTTCTTGATTGTGTTTTCCCCCGCCCGACAGGTTGGGGTTGTTAGGTGTCTTAGAACAGACCCCCCCGCCACACCCCCACCCCGCACATATATACCGCGGCCGCCAGACCCCAAGTTGCCCCGAAGGTCCCCGAGAGTCCTGGGAATCCCGCCTCTTGGGGGCATGGCTCTCAGAGCCCCAGGGGGTTCTTAGAAGAGTTCTCAGTGCCTTCTGAGAACCCTCCGAAGAACACCCAGGGGCTCTGAGAGCCCTCACTGCCCCCCTATTGCTGCCCATCCTTGGGGGCCTGCTAATCTATGCATCGGGCACGCCCGAACCCCCGCTCGCAGGTTGTCGGAAGGGGCGGGGGGAGGGAGGAGGCGCTCAGGGTGCAAGGAGGGGAGGCGCAGAGGAGGGCTGTGAAGTCTTGCCGCCATTGCGTGCTATCTAGCTGGCGCCCTCCGCCCCAAGACGGCACAAGATGGCCCCAAGACGGCCCAAGAGGGCCCCAAGACGGCCCAAGAGGGCCCCAAGACGGCCCAAGAGGCGCCCAAGACTGCCCAAGATGCGTCCAAGACGGCCTGGGAGAGGTCCACGAGGCCTTGAAGACGGCTCAAGAGCGCTCCAAGACGGCCCAAGACGGATGGGGCCGATCAGGGTGCAAAGAGGGGGGGGGCAGAGGAGGGCTGGGAAGTCTTGCCGCCATTGCGTGCTATCTAGTGGGCACCCCCTGCTCGCAGGTGGAGCACCTGGAGGCGGGCGCCTCCAAGGAGCAGCTGGAGCCCGGGGCCTCCGAGGGCTGCCTGGGCCACGAGGGTACGGCCAAGCCCGAGCTCGAAGGGCCCTCGGAGGCGGCCATCGTCCCCTCGGAGGCGGCCATCGTCGAGGAGACAGGGCGGGGAGAACGTGAAATTGGAGCGGGCTGAGGGGCTGAGGTGGTCCACCACTGGTTCGAGGCGGTTTTTCGTTGTTCTCGGCCTCTGGGGGCCGCTTTCGGGCCCTGGGGCAATCGAAAGCGGATCTGGAGTGAAAGACTGCGTCGGTTGGCCCCCGGGATTGGTATGGGGACCGATTTTGAGCGCATTTGCCCTGACCCTCCCCTCTTGACCGAGTTTCTTGATTGTGTTTTCCCCCACCCGACAGGTTGGGGTTGTTAGGTATCTTAGAACAGACCCCCCCGCCACACCCCCACCCCACACATATATACCGCGGCCGCCAGACCCCAAGTTGCCCCGAGAGTCCCTGAGAGTCCCCGAGAGTCCTGGGAATCCCGCCTCGTGGGGGCATGGCTCTCAGAGCCCCAGGGGGTTCTTAGAAGAGTTCTCAGTACCTTCCTAAGAACGCCCAGGGGCCGTGAGGGGAGGCGCAGAGGCGCAGAGGAGGGCTGTGAAATCTTGCCGCCATTGCGTGCTATCTAGCTGGCGCCCTCCGCCCCAAGACGGCACAAGATGGCCCCAAGACGGCCCAAGAGGGCCCCAAAACGGCCCAAGAGGGCCCCAAGACGGCCCAAGATGCGCCCAAGACTGTCCAAGATGCGTCCAAGACGGCCCGAGAGAGGTCCACGAGGCCTTGAAGACGGCTCAAGAGCGCTCCAAGACGGCCCAAGACGGATGGGGCCGATCAGGGTGCAAAGAGGGGAGGGGCAGAGGAGGGCTGGGAAGTCCTGCCGCCATTGCGTGCTATCTAGTGGGCACCCCCTGCTCGCAGGTGGAGCACCTGGAGGCGGGCGCCTCCAAGGAGCAGCTGGAGCCCGGGGCCTCCGAGGGCTGCCTGGGCCACGAGGGTACGGCCAAGCCCGAGCTCGAAGGGCCCTCGGAGGCGGCCATCGTCCCCTCGGAGGCGGCCATCGTCGAGGAGACAGGGCGGGGAGAACGTGAAATTGGAGCGGGCTGAGGGGCTGAGGTGGTCCACCACTGGTTCGAGGCGGCTTTTCGTTGTTCTCGGCCTCTGGGGGCCGCTTTCGGGCCCTGGGGCAATTGAAAGCGGATCTGGAGTGAAAGACTGCGTCGGTTGGCCCCCGGGATTGGTATATATGGGGGCCGATTTTGAGCGCATTTGCCCTGAACCCCCCCTCTTGACCGAGTTTCTTGATTGCGTTTTCCCCCGCCCGACAGGTTGGGGTTGTTAGGTGTCTTAGAACAGACCCCCCCGCCACACCCCCACCCCGCGCATATATACCGCGGCCGCCAGACCCCAAGTTGCCCCGAGAGTCCCTGAGAGTCCCCGAGAGTCCTGGGAATCCCGCCTCGTGGGGGCATGGCTCTCAGAGCCCCAGGGGGTTCTTAGAAGAGTTCTCAGTACCTTCTGAGAACCCTCCGAAGAACACCCAGGGGCTCTGAGAGCCCTCACTGCCCCCCTATATATTGCTGCCCATCCTTGGGGGCCTGCTAATCTATGCATCGGGCACGCCCGAACCCCCGCTCGCAGGTTGTCGGAAGGGGAGGGGGGGAGGGGGGAGGCGCTCAGGGTGCAAGGAGGGGAGGCGCAGAGGAGGGCTGTGAAGTCTTGCCGCCATTGCGTGCTATCTAGCTGGCGCCCTCCGCCCCAAGACGGCACAAGATGGCCCCAAGACGGCCCAAGAGGGCCCCAAAACGGCCCAAGAGGGCCTCAGGACGGCCCAAGAGGGCCCCAAGACGGCCCAAGAGGCGCCCACGACTGCCCAAGATGCGTCCAAGACGGCCCGGGAGAGGTCCACGAGGCCGTGAAGACGGCTCACGAGCGCTCCAAGACGGCCCAAGACGGATGGGGCCGATCAGGGTGCAAAGAGGGGAGGGGCAGAGGAGGGCTGCGAAGTCTTGCCGCCATTGCGTGCTATCTAGTGGGCACCCCCTGCTCGCAGGTGGAGCACCTGCAGGCGAGCGCATCCAAGGAGCAGCTGGAGCCCGGGGCCTCCGAAGGCAGCCTGGGTCACGAGGGTACGGCCACGCCCGAGCTCGAAGGGCCCTCGGAGGCGGCCATCGTCCCCTCGGAGGCGGCCATCGTCGAGGAGACAGGGCGGGGAGAACGTGAAATTGGAGCGGGCTGAGGGGCTGAGGTGGTCCACCACTGGTTCGAGGCGGTTTTTCGTTGTTCTCGGCCTCTGGGGGCCGCTTTCGGGCCCTGGGGCAATCGAAAGCGGATCTGGAGTGAAAGACTGCGTCGGTTGGCCCCCGGGATTGGTATGGGGACCGATTTTGAGCGCATTTGCCCTGAACCCCCCCTCTTGACCGAGTTTCTTGATTGTGTTTTCCCCCACCCGACAGGTTGGGGTTGTTAGGTGTCTTAGAACAGACCCCCCCGCCACACCCCCACCCCACGCATATATACCGCGGCCGCCAGACCCCAAGTTGCCCCGAGAGTCCCTGAGAGTCCCCGAGAGTCCTGGGAATCCCGCCTCGTGGGGGCATGGCTCTCAGAGCCCCAGGGGGTTCTTAGAAGAGTTCTCAGTACCTTCTGAGAACCCTCCGAAGAACACCCAGGGGCTCTGAGAGCCCTCACTGCCCCCCTATATATTGCTGCCCATCCTTGGGGGCCTGCTAATCTATGCATCGGGCACGCCCGAACCCCCGCTCGCAGGTTGTCGGAAGGGGAGGGGGGGAGGGAGGAGGCGCTCAGGGTGCAAGGAGGGGAGGCGCAGAGGAGGGCTGTGAAGTCTTGCCGCCGTTGCGTGCTATCTAGCTGGCGCCCTCCGCCCCAAGACGGCACAAGATGGCCCCAAGACGGCCCAAGAGGGCCCCAAGACGGCCCAAGAGGGCCTCAGGACGGCCCAAGAGGGCCCCAAGACGGCCCAAGAGGCGCCCACGACTGCCCAAGATGCGTCCAAGACGGCCCGGGAGAGGTCCACGAGGCCGTGAAGACGGCTCACGAGCGCTCCAAGACGGCCCAAGACGGATGGGGCCGATCAGGGTGCAAAGAGGGGAGGGGCAGAGGAGGGCTGCGAAGTCTTGCCGCCATTGCGTGCTATCTAGTGGGCACCCCCTGCTCGCAGGTGGAGCACCTGCAGGCGAGCGCATCCAAGGAGCAGCTGGAGCCCGGGGCCTCCGAGGGCAGCCTGGGTCACGAGGGTGCGGCCACGCCCGAGCTCGAAGGGC